TTTTTTTTAGCAACTGATCAATGCCTGTGTTAAAGTATTAGCAAATGATTTTGAGACAATGATTACCAATGAACAATGGGAAAAAGAATGGATGTCAATTGATCGTGATCAATTAACTGAACTGCTCAAATCTAGTGATTTGGTTCTGCCAAGTAACCAATTTTAATAATTTAAATTTTTCTGACAAAAAATATTCGATATAACTAATCATTAGTATTTTAACAATGATAAAACAGTAAAATAACTTCAATTTACAGTAAGTTTCTACATCTGTGCTTTTGTTAGGAACAGAAATTATTGCGCTGTATACAGAGGTTATAGCAACAGAAGTAATGTTTTTAAAATCTATTATTTTCAATCTATTTGGTTGGGCATATAACTAAGAATTTTTTTTTCTATTCAATTTACACTTTCTTGCTGAATGAATAAAGAAATATTCCTTTTTTTTGGAGTTATTGAACTGAATTACAGATGAATTTAAACTTTGGGAGGCTGTACAAAAATGGTTGATGGCACCATCGCATCCGGAACGAAAAGGTACCACTGCATCGCCATTATTGGTCTCAATTTTACCGTTAATAAGGTTTGTTATTTGTTGCTTCTTAGTCGTTGTTGCATTCAATTCACTGATTTTCAATACACATAATTTTTACAACATATTTGAACTGTTCAAAAATGATCACATTTTTTTGACATTTTTTTTTAAAAAACACCAAATTATTATTAACTGATTAACTGATTATTTTTGTTAGACTCATTTTAGCAAAAAACTTTCAAATTTATTTGCTGCTTTACAGTTCAAATGCATAAAATAAAAATAGAAACAATTTATAATTACAGATTTCCATTTATGACTGCCGATGAATTAAGTATTGTTGAACGATCACCGTTTGTTGAATCACATCCAAAACTGTTTTATCCACAGATATTATTGGCCTATAAATTTCATTCACATACACTGTCCAGTCGAATGAACTACAAGTAAATTTGTTGTTTTGTACTTTTTCTTACTGCTTATTAAATGTAATTTTTTTTATTGATAACAAAACAAGTGTTATAGTCTTTTTTTTTCTACATATGTTCAGTATATATGTTTTTTTTTTTTTTGAGCGCAGTAGCATAAAAAATCATGGAACAAAAACGGTTTGTTAAAATAAAAAGTAAAATTTTTGGTTGAGTACAGCCGAAAGGGTGGCGGAGGTAAATTGAATTGTCTGTTGTACATCAAAATGTACAGAGGTAACTATTGCGGTTAAACAGTAATATTTATAAGATTTTTATGCTCAATAAAAAATGTAGTCAAAAAGCTGGTTTTCCAATTTTTTATATGCTTTGCTTTTGTCAAATATCAGTGTGTTATTGAACAGAATAATACTAAAGTTGTAACAAGAAAATTTTAAGAAGGAAAAAAAAGCTCACAAAATTTAGTCTTTTTTTTTTTTTGCTATTGTTTAAGACGACTAAACAAATATGAAAATTGTAAAAACGGATTGGACATAAAATTGCAGCCATTTTTCATGGCCGCGGTTTTTCCTGTTTTTTTTTTTTTTT